AGGAACTGCTTTTAAGTAGTAATTTACTATATGGCTCTCCATTTTCTAAAGGCAAAGATTTCTAGAACCTTAGAATAAGAGTGCTAAATTTAGTGAGTTGTATTTTTTTCCATTATAAAATTTAGAGATTATTTGAAGACTAGATTTTTCCAGTTAATTTGTTAGACCACACTAGTGCCCTGTGACTAATACTTGGTGACTGATTGATCCTGAGAGGAAAAAATATTTTCTGTGAAGTTCTGACCGTAGATTCTTTCCTAAAGAAACTATATGCTCACTTATGTATTCTGTGATCTTCTCTTCCTGGTTGATCAATCAACTCCCTTCTTCCTCCTAAAGGTGTACTAAGCCAGGTCACTAGCTTTTCCCTCTCTCCTTTCCTCTCTTATTCCTTCCTTGCTTCCTATAATAAATATTACTTACTGAATGCCTACTATGTGCTAAGTACTAGGGACATAAATGAATAGCAAATTACTTTGATTTATGGAATATGGAGATGTAGGAAATAAACTGGATCTTTGCTGAAAGATCCATGGGAAAAGTTTTTTTTTTTTTTTTTTTCTGAGACAGGGTCTCGCTGTGTTGCCCAGGCTGGAGTACAGTAGTGCAATCATAGCTCATTGCAGCCTCAACCTCCTGGACTCTAGGTATGCTCCCACCTCAGCTTTCTGAGTCACTGGGACTACAGGCATGTGTCACACTGTTAGGTTCATTAAAAAAATTTTTTTTTTTGTAGAGATGGAGGTCTCACAATGTTGCCCAGGCTGGTCTTGAACTCTTGGCCTCCCATGGAACAAATACTGATTGACAGCAATTCATGATCATTTTGCTTTTAAAGGCTTCTCACATTATTTTCATTGATTCATCAGAGGAATTGTATCCCAAGAAAATTGAGAAATGTTTTAATGTTTCAAAGAATAAAGGAGTTAAGAAGCATTAAACCAAGATACAAGTACCTAACCTGAAAATAATAGATATAAAAAATATTTCAACATACTTTTTATATATCTTACATAAATAAGATCTAACTCTTCCCAACTTTGAACTTGTAAATTTTAATATAATTCTAAACTAGAGATCATTCTATGGGCTTTCAAGGTTTTTTTTATCATTTACATGGTATATAATATTTTCTCTTTGAGACAACAACTTTGAAGCAAAACTTTTACAATTGTCATTCAACAAATATAATTTATTGGGTTCTTCTCAGAAACTAGGTAAAATTAGGAAAACAAATGAAAACACATAGCTCTAAGTCCCCAAAGAATTTAAAAAATCCTTAACATTTAATCTTTTCACAGCTTTTCAAACATTTACTATATCATAGCAGAAAGAATAAAGGCCAACAGAGTGAGGTTTGAATTTAAACTTCATTATGGAGTAGAGGTGAGCAAGTTACTATTTTCTCTGCACATTGATTTCTTCTCTATAAGAATATCATCTACCTTGAAAAGTTGTTATAGGTATAAAGTGTCTAGTAGAATGCTTGACAAATAGAATGTACTACATTTTTTAGTTTTAAACCACTACTGCAAAAACTCAGATCATTTATACCACTAATAAACATCCTATCTTCTAAAAATAATGCTATCTGAACTACATTATATGCAGATAGGTACTTGAGATGTAAAAAATCCAATTTGATGCTGCACTTCATATAATCTTATAAACATCCAATGTATTTCCAATTGGTAAAGAAAAGTCAAAATCCATTCTGAAGAAGTAACATTAAGTAAGTCATATGCACAGTATATTAAAGATCCTTCCAAATAATTATGTTGTTTCTTCTCAAGCATACGTTGTCTAATAACTGTTCAGGAGTTCCACAGACTCAATATATATTAATCAAGAAACTACTTTTTAGGGCTAGAGTTCTTAGATACTAACCTCAGAGGCTGCCCTAAGGGTAGTTTCAAGAACTGAGGTTCCCCTTTCTTAGTGACAAAGAATAGCATCTATGGAGGCTTTTAGGGCAACAGTTACTGATTTGTTAAAGATACCTAAGGGCCAAATCATCTTTGAACCAAGTATAACCCCTTTGTTGAACTGTGCTGTGTTACAACACGTTAATGCCCTGAAATAATTAATATACCCCTCCTAAAGTGCCAAATTAGAACTTAGATTTTTGGGTAAGAAGGGACCCTAAATTCCCTGCTTTTCCACCCCACCTTCTATGATCTACCAAAGAGGAAAGTGAAGTCAATTGAGTGAGGGATTTCCCCAAGACACATGGCTACCCAATGCAGAGACTGAAGTAGACAGAATTCAAGGTACCTGACTTCTAACCCAGTGTTCTACTCACAAGAGCAAGCTTCCAATTCTATTATAATAAAGAAATGATTTGTGTATATCTGGCAAAGAAAAAAGAAAAAAAACCTCTGAAAATACTTATTTGGTTATTATGCAGTGGGATCTCAATAAATAAACTTTTAACCAACATGAAGAACATCATGGGAACATCATTCTAAAAACTAGCTAAGTATTATTAGCTTTCCTGAATTTAAGGGACGTTAAAAATTACTGTGACTGCTAGGCGTGGTGGCTCATGCTTGTAATCCTAGCACTCTGGAAGGCCGAAGCTGGAGGGCCTCTGGGACTAGCCTGAGCAAGGCTGTCTATACAAAAAAATAAAAAAACTAGCCTGGTATGGTGGCACACACCTGTAGTCCCAGGTACTCCAGAGGCTGAGGCAGGAGGAGCACTTGAGCCCAGGAGTTGCAGGTTGCAGTTAGCTATGATGACACCACGGCACTCTAGCCCGGGTGACAGAGCAAGACCCTGTCTAAAAAAAAAAAAGAAGAAATTTGCTGTGACTGTTCCTAAATCGCTTTTTAAAAAAAGTTTCACATATTGTCTTCAGCGGAGATGGGGCAATTAGAATCATCAACTGTAGTTGAACAGCAATTGCCTGATGCTGAGAACCCATCCTTTAAAAGCTCTGTATTTCTGCTTATTATTAGGACTACGGCATTTCAGACAGGAGTCTCCATCCTCCACCTTTGCCAGCAAAGTAATAAACTTCTCTTTCCTTCTCCTCAAAAGAAAAAAAAAATTTCTACAATAAGCAAGCAAACCAACAAACTTAGAGTTGAGAAAACTCATGATTTATCCACCACCAAATGCAAGAATCCTTTCTAAAACATTCTGATAATTGACCAATCAGCTCTGAATGTTTTCAGGGATAAGGAACATTTTCAAAGGTGTGCAGGCCATCCTCATTATCACTAAGCTACAAAGGTATTCAAACCCAGCTTCTCTGTAGATGTCTTTCCATTAAAACCAGTTCTGCCTTCTAGAACAATAATGAATTAGTCTAGAGTCTTTTTTGTATTTCATGTTTAGCCTTTCAAATATTTGAAGCTAGTGATCAGTCTAGCATTCCCCTTTTCTCTTCTTGATACATATATCTATAATACTAAAAGTACTTGGAAATAGTTCATACTAATCATTTCAGTTCCATTCAGCTCAACAAAGGTTTATGAAGTCCAGGTATTGTGCTAGGTGCTGGGAGTGTACAAAGAGAAATGAGACATAATCCTTGCCTTAAAGGAGCTTACAATACAGTGGGTGAGCATATACAGAGATAACTTAAATCTAATAACAGCAAGTGCTAAAATAGAGTCATGTCTAAAAATAGTTACAAATAAGATTAGAGAACAAGGAAGGAATCCAGGTGAAAGATAAAGAAAATACAACAGTAGACATTTGTGCCAGGGTCACAAATTTGGATCCAAATTCCTTAACTGAACATTCTACATAAACTGATAAACTAATTATTAAACTATTCAATCTAATCTAAACAAAATGTGGTAGTTCTTAGTACCTATACAGAGAGGATAATAAGGGATAGAAAATATCAAAATATACATTCATATTCAGAAACATTTTAAGGGTACAGTTAAGCAATACATATTTGCTAAATAAAAAAATTGTTCTAAAACATCTTAAAATCAATGACATTATATAAATTTCATAAAGGAAGAGACTGGTTTTTTTGACTTCTATTGTCAAGAGTGAAGCAGTGTGAGTTAGGAGAAAATTGTTTGGTATAGCATGCAAGAAAAAATTTTACTCATTTGATAAATTATTTTTTTCATAAAAAAGGATTAAAACATGAATATTCAGGATTCCAAAACAATGGCACAATTCATTGATGGAATGTTAATTTTTTCTTGACCAAAAGACCCATTAATGATGGAATTAGAGTATCAGAATTGAACTTTACTAAAATGTTATCTTTAAATTATTTTAAACTGTTACATGTAAAAAACAAGATGAAAATGTCCTCAGATCATACCCTGTGTAAGAACCAACTTTGTCTGTGTATTTTCCTTTAAGCTAATAGCATTTATTTAACACTGCAGTCAATGGTAAAAGAAAATTAAGATATTATTCAGCATTATGCAACTTCTTTACAACATATGCATACATGATTCCCATATTTAGATTTAAATGTTTAATATATTTAGTCAATAGCTGTCTAATCAACAGTAATTTTATTTCTACATAGTTCTTAATATTGAGATTGGCCGGGTGCACTGGCTCACACCTATAATCCTAGCACTCTGGGAGACGGAGACGGGAACATCACTTGAGGTCAGGAGTTTGAGATCAGCCTTAGCAAGAGTGAGACCCTGTCTCTACTAAAAATAGAGAAAAATTAGCTGGACAACTAAAAATATATATAGAGAGAAAAAATTAGCCGGGCATGGTGGCGCATGCCTGTAGTCCCAGCTACTCAGGAGGCTGAGGCAGGAGGATCGCTTGAGCCCAGGAGTTTGAGGTTGCTGTGAGCTAGGCTGACGCTACGGCATTCTAGCCCAGGCAAGAGATCGAGACTCTATCTCAAAAAATAAATAAATAAATAAATAAATATCTAAAGATACCTATGTCTGCAGAGGTTCAGGTTCCCAGCTAGACCTGTAGTAAGGCAAGAAACCAAAGGAAGGAAATTATTTCCATCATATCTATGCATAAGAGGTCCACTTTCAATTGCTTACCTCCAATATTCTGAATTAGTATGGTGCCTGCCACCACCACCTATAAAAGAACAAATATTCAGAAGATAAAAGGGGAAATAATATAACGATTAGTATTTTATTAATATCAAATAACTATTATTAAAAAACAGATGTATTAGTCATGAGTGAAGAGAAATTGGAAAGAATAAATTTTGTCATTCATAATACGTAAAATTAATAATCATCACATTAAAAAAGCCTTTCTTTTATAGTTCTATGGTTACTATAAAGAACATTTTTGAAATTTTTCTTGGCAGTCATTTTGAAATAGTTAAAAATATTAAAAGCTAGTAACAGTGATTATCAAAGTACAAAAAATTAAAACTCAATCTATGGAGTAGGTGTGTCATTCTCTCTTTCTTACTGGTTTTCCTACACTGCTTCAGTAGGGAGACCAAGACAAGTTGGGATGCGCTGTGCCAATGCTGTATTGCCTGAAAGGAAATTACACAGTTTTCCGAGTATATCAGCTTAGCATACACCCAGCCTTTGAGCATCTCAGTCCCAGGGTTTAATAAAGACTAGAGCAGAAAATTCCAAAGACCAAACACTCTCAGATCTTGAAAATGTAGGCAAAATATTTCCAACTCAAAAATGTGACGTAAGTTGAGTGTACGATAATAGGAGGTGGCAAGAACTGTAGTATATTGGAGAACGCCTCCCCTTTCAAAATGGGGCAGCTGCTACTCAGCTCTGGCCAGTTGATGGCATGTGAGAATGTGGATCTAATATAAGCAGATCTTCTAATTTTTCAAGGAAAGTCAGAGATTGGATTTTTTTCAAATTTTTGTGACTCTTAGTTGGTAACCAGTTAAAAATAAAAAAGATTTGAGCCAAACAAAATTCAGTCTGCAGGCTTGCTAGCTTATCATCTCTGATGAGATTCCTGGGAAACTCAAGGTAGTCAGATATGCTCAGAGGAAATGGTAAAACACTGTTCTTCTACTTGGGCCTTTCAATCACTCAAATCTTAGTGTATCAGAACTTTTAATGTATGTTTGGAGCTGATTAGCTAGCTAGCATCATTCAGTCCTATGTGGATAGAGAACAGATCATCCTTCAGGCCCATCTCTATTAGGAATTCCATCAATGGCAGAGCAGAAACAATCTAAGTTACTGGGTCCTAGCGGTGTTGGGGTTTTGCAGAGAAGGCTAATGATATGAAAATTTAGAAAGGTGTCTTTGGAGATGTGGTGGTTGCCACTCTAATGTTTTCCAGAAGGAACTCTGTATCTCAATCCATTTAAAAATTAGTTTCAAAATGCCAGTTATTTGTGCAAAGACTATTTTGAACTTTTGTATACCATCTACAGTACAAATGGTACCTAGTGTCAGCTATACAAAAAATTTGGATTTCTTTTCTATTAATATATTATGAAATGCAATAATATCAACTTATAGATGATTATTTTTCCATTCTTTGGCTGAATTGAATTATTCACTGTCTAGAAAATCAGAATATCTATCTACCTACCTACATACCTACTAACTTATATCTTCAGTGCCTAGCACAGTGCATGGCTCATAGTATTAGATCAATAAATATTTGTCTGATGAGTATACATCAATTTACAGACACTTTAAAAATCTTCCTTAAAAAGTTAAAAACACTTCAAAAATATTTTTTTCATTCTCAGAACAATATTATCCTATCATATATCATATCCGTATTGTATCTAGAGAGAAGGACATAGGAAAGTTTCAACCCAATTGTGGAAGTGGGGAAGAAATATACAAACAAATAATAATACTCCTCATTCAGAGTATGCTTTGTCTAGTGTACCTCCCTACATATAGGGTACATATATTAAAATGATAATGCAACTGCTGTAGAGTTGTAGGAAAAGGAGACTCTCAACAATCCATACTCTTTCAGGCTTTGCTGCTATGCAAGGACTGCAGGAAATACTAATGTGAGATGACGGTGATGTTGGTGTGATACTTAGAGTCATGTTTACAGATCATACTAAATGATTTGAGGAATTTTCTTATACAAATACATTTTCTTCTTCCTTGGTGACAGATGTAGGATACTGACCACTGATTACACTAAACATTCTGATCTCTAGAAAAGAGAAATTATTACCAAGGATGATTAATAAAATCCTTTACCCTCAAGTAACATATTCTGTTTTGTTCAAGTTTCAGGTTATTAAAGTCCGAGTGGTGATGCTACATAGTATATGATTTAAACATTCTCTTTTGTACTTTAAAAACAAAATTAATTGAAATGTAAATACAGGTTTTCTCCCCATTACATAACTACATCTTTTCCTCCAAGATTCACTTCTTAGCAGTTAGTTTAACCATCTGTAAACATAGTATCCTTTTAGATTAAAAACAAAACAAACCAAAAAAATGATAAGTATTGGAGATAGTACAAATGTTAATTAGCTCAATTTTGCCATTCCACAATGTATACATATTTCAAAATAATATGTTGTATGTGATAAAATTAATTTTTATTTGTCGATCAAAAAATAAACAAAAACACAAGCAACAGATTTACAAACAAAAGGAAAAATTCCTATTTGGAACCAAAATTAATATGGGTTTTAGAAGTATAGTAGCTCCTCGGAAATTAAAAAAAAAAAAAGCTACAGCACTGGTAGTAATGTTTAACTCCTGATTACCTGTAGGAGAAGACAGTGTTTTTCCCTATCTCTTAAACAGTTTAGTATGCCTATCACAAATGAGTGCTAGTGCCCAAGACAAGTTGCTATTCTTTGTCTTCTGAGCAGGAAAAGCAGTAGACTGAGTCTGGAGTCCTAGGATGTAGTACTGATTTTATGTAATTGTTGATAAATAGGCCCCTTAACTTCTCTGGTCCTTAATTTCCTCACTTATAAATGAGAGGATAGCTAGGATAATCTTTCAGCACTGTTCAACTCTTAAGTGATACGATCTTCTAATGACTGGTTTTGTATATAGCCATACAACAATTTTGATTCTACGCTGCTTTCTTCTCCTGTCTTTATGAGGATTTACTCAAAGAATACAATCAAAATTAATATGGAAAAGTTAAAATGGGCCATTGTTATTCTTTGAAAATTCTTCAAGTCATTGAGCTCCTTCAATGGAGTGAAATGTACTAAAAGAGTTAAGTGTTGAACTTATTGATGTATTTTTAGGAAGGGTGCACAGAGAGATTTCTTCTCTTTCTCTGCCTGCTCCCATCATTCTGCCTTATCTCATTTTATTTTCCTAATATCTTTCTCCTATATAAGTTTGTCTCTTTTAACTTGAAACCAAAGCAAAAAATGCCACTTTGGGTTTTGGACACGATAAGGAGAAAAAAATTACCTTTCCAGGTAATCCGAATGCAAAGAGTCCAAGATCTTCATAAGATGTTACAGCTGTTAAGAGAAATTACAATTTGCACTTTTATTTATGTGTCAGACCTTAAAAGGAATAAAGTTAATTCCACTACTACAAATTAAGCACAGTATAATTCTTATGACCCAAGTCATTCAGGACTAGACAGAAATATAAGACATGAACATCTTCGAATAAAGGCAATTGTAAAACAGAAGGCTAGATTTAACTGGTATTTTATGTAAAGGTCTTTGATAATTTTCTTCATCAAATAGTTAAACTTTCACCCCAAAATATAAGCTATAAAGCCTATGATTTTCAGATGTCTTTGTATTATACAATGTCTTTTTTTTCGTAGTGATGGTTTTTACATTTTTAAAAATCACTGATTCCTTTTATTATGTTTTGCTAACGTATCTCATGTTCTGAAAGATTTTATCTGTCAAGCTGTACATATTAATAATTATTTCCTCTTTAATAAGCAAAAGTTTCTGACCAATATATGGTAACTAATGTGAACACACAAAATTAATGTAATTTTGGTCACCAACTAACAACCATCTATCTATCTGACATCTCTCTGTATTTATTTTAAGTTAATCTGTATAAGCTGATCATGGGTAAACTTATGATTTCTCTTAGGCATTCTGTAACACTGAAAGTAGCTCAAACAATCCCAATATCAATTTTATAAATGCCTAGCAGTTTAGACCTACCTGCTTTATAGCTAGCTATTGGATGGTCAGACTAAATTTAAAGTAGAACTAAGCATTTTTTTGGAAAACTTTTGAAGACATATGGTCTGTAAGGATAAGGTCCTTTTAGAATAGGTACAGCTTTTAAGGTTGTCTGACAACCACCCAGGCAGCATTAATTCAAATGGAATAACTACTCGAGAACATCCCCACTTCTCACTATACAGCACTTACATGCCACACTGTCCAAATGTAAGTTTTCATTGGCAATAGTTTCTAAAAACTGGATACATAAATAAAGTTAGATAAAGTATAAAAGTTGTATCATACTTTTAGAGACATTGACTTTTCCAGGTGCCTAGGATGATGATTGTATTCATGAAAGAAACAATATTCTTATCTCATAATTAGTAGGGTATAAAGTTTCTTTTTTCATCATAAAACAGTATTAAATTACATTCTCACGTCACATGTTCAAGAAGTGTGGTCATAGAAAAGATGAAAATTAAATGGCTCATAAAAGAACCAAATTTATGTCCCTAGACCACATAGCTTCATGTTTTAGCTTGTGGTGGTGTCGCTATTTGTATGATCCTATAGTTTGAAAAGTGCTTTACCTTACTGTGCTAACACTAAAGAGAAGCAGAATAGTAGATACTAAGGCTTGGTACAGCAATACATTATGTGTATTAAAGATATAGCTCATCATTTCTCAAAGCCAGTTTTAATATATCCTCTCAAGATACACATGGGTTTTCTTTCAACTGCCACTACATTAACAAAAAACTCCTCTGTACTTTCAGAACCAAAGACCTCTAGGTATGTAAAAGTAAGCATTTTTAAAATCATGTATGGTCTTTACATATTATAACAACAAAGTCAGAAAAATATAAGTAGAATGCTGAAAAAATAAGGAGTTTTACTAATTAAGAATGAAAGTTTTAACTTTAATTTATTATCAGAGTTGATCAAAGAATTTGGAAACTTTTTGAATGATACGGCTCCTTTAGAAAATGTTTTTACATACTGCTAAACATAGTGCATGAGAACAATTTAGCTTTGAACGTGGAATACATAACTTGATTATAAGTAGGAATTTTTATGATTTAATAATAAAAGACTTCAACAATAATTTTACAGGGGTAGATTTTGGATATACTTTAGAGCATATAATTAAGAAGCAGAGTTATAAAACTAAGAACAGGAATTTTTTCCTCCATTGTGAAATGCTGAAAGTCTTTTTCCAAATACATATATTCTAAAGTAAATGTCATCACAAAAATAATTATTTTAATCAATAAATCTTTACTTTTTAAAAAAACATTATTAGACTTAATTGTTAATGTATATGGACACAATTCCTTACATTTAACATCCCAAAGCCTTGGTATATATATTAAAGCTCAAAATTGTCTAAATATTAGCTTCTCTCTAATTGGGCATTGAGAAGGTAATTTTGTTACATATTATGTGAATCAAGTCTCCAGAGGATCTCTGATCTGTCACCCCAATGCATGAGATTAAAGAAATATCACTGTACATTTTTAGCATCCCTTTTATATTACAGTTAAATGAGTCCATTCTTTCTTAAAAAAAAAAACTTTCCTTCCAAGAATTTAAAGCAAGGAGGCTTTTTCAGTGTTACATGCATATGGGAATATATCAAATACCTGCTTTTCAAATGACCTATTTTGCATCAGTCAGTGAGCACACTGTCAACACGATACTTATCAAAAAGTTCAATTGGGGTTTGTTTTATTTCTAAACAGCATAAAATAAGTACAGATTGTATATTTAGTAAACATGAAAAGCAAATACATTTACTATGAGCAAAAATCACAAGACTGAAAGATTCCGAAAAGAATTGGTATATCAGTTATTTAAATTTAAATAAATTAAACATTTATTCTTACTTTAAAAAATTAAAATACAATCTTTACTGTTCCAGAAAATATCAAACTAACAGCTTAATGAAGATAGTTTTAATTGCAACTCTGACAATAATGGAATACATTTTAGCAATCTCAAATTTACTCTCTGGGTCTATTATTTTTTAGTTTTATAAAAATATCTCTCTATATAACCAATGTAAGAGTTGAGAGTGAAAAAAGTATTAGACTCCTAAAATGGAGACTGAGTACAGTGCTCAAGTCCTAATTCTAGCTTTCCAGTCAGCATGTCTGGCTAGTCATTCAGTTCTGTCACTGTCATCAGACTTCTTTTATGTTGCAAAAATTAGAAGCACTTTTCCATGCCTGAGACGACATGAATATGAATAATGGTTTTTGGATTAACACTGATGCTTTACTAAAATAAAATGTGTACACAGTCAGCCAAATGCTTATCTCCACATACTCATTTTTTAATGGTTTTCTGGAACATCCTGACATGTAAACCAAAACCACACTAGTGGAATACTTTTAAAGTTCTGTTCTGTCACTTGGGCCATTTCTTAAAATGCTAGTAACAGTAAAAACTGGTACTCCCTGTTCAAATCCAGTTTGAACAACGAACCTTTAAAATATTTAAAACGTTTGACACCTGGGAGCTTGTCTTAGGAAATAAAACTAAAATCAAGAGAAATCATTATGTGCAAAGCTACTCATCATGGCATTGTTTACACTGGAAAAACAAAACTAATCTAAATGTTCAACCATGGGAAAATGGTTACATAAATTATAGTAGGTATACCTGATAGAATAATATGTAATCCTTAAAAACTATGTTTATAACATGAAAAATGCCAATATTATTTTAAGTGGGAAAAAAAACACATAAAAAGAGTGGGATGAATTATACATAAACGGTAACAATGATTGTTTAGTCTTCATTTTCTTCCTTCTTTTTTAGCAGGGAGAGGTTTCAAATATTCTACAATGACTATAACAGAAGTAGTGGAACTTTATTTTTGTTTTGTTTTATAGAGAATGGATCTTGCTCTGGCTGGAGTGCAGTGGCCCAATCAAAGCTCACTGCAGCCTCGAACTCCTGGGCTAAGCAATCTTCCCACCTCAGCCTCCTGAGAAGCTGGGGCACTACAGGCACATGCCACCATGCTTGGCTAATTTTTAAACTTTTTAGTATAGAAGGGGTCTCATTACGCTGCCCAGGCTGGTCTTGAACTTCTGACCTCAAGTGGAGGCCACCTTGGCCTCCCAGAGTGTTGGGATTATAGGCGTAGGCCACTGTGCCAAATGGAACTTCATTTTTTAAAACCACATTACTTGAATAGTTCCATTTCCTCTACCAAATATCTGATAGGTTTTATTTAAGAGGTAATTTTAATTTTCTCTGGTGTTTAGTGTTGAAGCATTGCTTGATCTGCTAACAGGGGATATTCTTTTTGGCTCTTTCCTAAGATCAACATCTTATGAAAGATGTTTGAGAGATACAAAAATAAGATGTGGTGATGACTAGTCACATTAACAGCATATTCCTATAGAACAGGAATAACATTAATTATGAAATTATGAAATTAATTCAGTCTTTTACAGGAATTCATACAAACAGTACTTGGCACAGCCCTTAAATAAACAACTGAAAGTAATCATTAACAATTTATTTTAGGAAATTATTTTTTGATATTAAAGAAATCAATGCTATATTTTGAGGGGATAGAAAGGCTATAAATCTTAATCAAGTAAGGTAAGGCAAATTTCTTCTTTAATGTACCATCAAGGCACACTTTAGTGCTATTTTGGCTAGATCAAGAGTTTGGCCTCTACAGGAATCGTTTGGAAAGCTGCTTCCCATGAAATAGTGGAATATTTCCAGCTAGTTACTCCAGTGTTCTGTCTGCTTTGCATTTTTTCCTCAATGAAATAGGACAATTAATAAACTTTGGTGATAGTACAAAGCCCAAGTTTCAACAGCAGCAATATTATCTTTGGATTTGGATTGAGAGCCATGAGTTATTCAAATACAGTTCAACTCTCAGAAAGTTGGCCCTTTGGAACATACCCTTGTTATTTTCAAATTCTTGTCTTTCTTGTGTTTTCTATCATTTTCCTCCAGCCTTTTTTCTTAGGAATAGTGCCCATTCAGGTCATTCACTTTTTCAACATTCACTATACAATTTCATTGCCACTTCTGATCTTTCTTAATATGTGTTTAAATGTCAGTGTACCAACTGAATGTGGCATGATTTTAGAGTATATCCATTTAGTAAAAGAAAACAGAATGCTAGAATACTAGGAACAGTCTACCAGGTGGCACAAAGACTGTGTGATATTGCTTTAGGGGGATCTGGCATCTCGGTATACTACTTAGCTCTCCAGTGAACAAAATTTATATAGTCATATCCTATAAAAGTTATTCATTAGTTTTCAACTTTTAGACTCAATCTATAGATACAAATACAAACAACTTAAATATGATTACAAAACAGAAAGTAAATATTGTCAACCTTGACAATGTCAGCACACAGCAGACAGACTATGGGAAATAGGGAAAGAGTAGGTGAAAGAAAAGACAGGAGCACTGATATCATATAAGGCAAAGAGTCAAAAGATACTGGCTAAAATAAAGGTTTAAATGTATTATTTGGAGTTACACAATAATCCACGAAAGAACAATTCAATACAAACTAATGACAGAAAGGGGAAGGGGAAGGATTAGTGTACTTGAGCTAAATCTTCACCTTTTGCAATGAAGAGTCAAAAGATAATCTCTTAAATCAATAAATAACAGAAGACTACTATTTAGACGTAGAAATGCAATTACCTAAAGAATTAAAAACAAAAACTGTTTAAATGTAGCTAGCCCTGAGAAGTGTAATAGAAGTAGGGAAGAATGGGTGGGGAACTGCTCCAAGTCCTACGTAAGTGTGCATATGCATACACACACACACACGTGACCATGTATTACTTTTGATAAAAATAAAAAGGGAATGTTAATTTAAAAATATGTTTAGGCCGGGCGCGGTGGCTCACGCCTGTAATCCTAGCACTCTGGGAGGCCGAGGCGGGTGGATCGCTCAAGTCAGGAGTTTGAGACCAGCCTGAGCAAGAGTGAGACCCCATCTCTACTAAAAAGTAGAAAGAAATGATCTGGACAACTAAAAATATATATATACAGAAAATATTAGCCAGGCATGGTGGCGCATGCCTGTAGTCCCAGCTACTCGGGAGGCTGAGGCAGAAGGATTGCTTGAGCCCAGGAGTTTGAGGTTGCTGTGAGCTAGGTTGACGCCATGGCACTCACTCTAGCCTGGGCAACAAAGCGAGACTCTGTCTCAAAAAAAAAAAAAAAAAAAAAATTAAAAATATGTTTAACCCTGTAGAGACTCACACCTATCCTTTCCTGTAGCCCAACAACAAAAAATTCAGCTTCTGCTTACTCTAGTATCAAGGCAAACATTATGAAAGAATCACTATGAGTAGAGCACACACACAATCTAGCCCAGGGTTTTTCAACATTGCTGCTACTTACTGGCCCAGATCATTCTTTGTTGTGAGGGGCCGTCCTGTATATTGCACGGTGCTTAGCAGCATCCCTGGCCTTTACCCACGAGATGCCAATAACACCTCACCTCACTCTGCTTCCCCCATCCCCAGGTGTGAAAAGCAGAAATATCTGCTGACACTGCCAAATGCCCTGGGGATAGAAAACAAGATATCTATTAGTAAAGAGGATGAGACAAGGACACTAAGCCACTGAAGATGGAGCCACATAATCAGCCCACTTAATTAACTGTGGGTCTATTAATTTATGTTCACTAATCAAAAGAAGAAAAAGATGAAAGAAGATATAGTTTGGATAGCTGACTACCATTCTAAACAGTAAGCAAATGTTCACAGTGAGCTTTGAAATGGTAAATATGAATCTACTGTCTTTCAAGCAATTTCAGTTCTTGTGTGCCTCTCATGGTGAGAGCATCTCACAGTGCTGAATGGAATTCATCATGACCCTAAAGCAATCCATAGCCTTCGCATGATATACAAACCAATGCTTGGGGCGGGGGGGGGGGGGGGGGGGGAGAGGCTGTCAGTTCTTTATTGATAAATGATATTGAATACTCTATTTTATAAGCTATATAAGGAATTTTTTTTTTCTTTTTTTTTTTTGAGACAGAGTCTTCTCACTCTGTTGCCCGGGCTAGAGTGCTGTGGTGTCAGCCTAGCTCATAGCAACCTCAGACTCCTGGGCTCAAGCGATCCTTCTGCCTCAGCCTCCCGAGTAGCTGGGACTACAGGCATGCGCCACCATGCCCGGCTAATTTTTTCTATATATTTTTAGTTGTCCGATTAATTTCTTTCTAATTTTAGTAGAGACGGGGTCTCACTCTTGCTCAAGCTGGTTTTGAACTCCTGAGCTCAAACATTCTGCCCGCCTCGGCCTCCCAGAGCGCTAGGATTACAGGCGTGAGCCACCATGCCCGGCCTTAAAGATAATTTTACCTATACATAATTTTTGCCTTAGATGTTAATTTTCTAATCCCTCTATAGATCTAATACATCCATCTAATCCTTACCCATGGATCCAGCTTTTACTAAATACCTTCTGTGTGTCATGCACATGGCAGAAGTTATAAAGACGATGGTTAATAGCTTGAATATACATTAAATTTTCTAGGAATACAATTACCATGTAAATGCAGGAAAGACTATAAGTTGTTTTGTTTGGAACTTTGCCAAAAACCATTTCCTAAATGGAAAATCACATCACCAAGAGCATTTACTTTGTTTTTGTTTCTCCTTTATTTTACAGTTACAGTATTATATTATATATAAGTAGTATATTAGTTTCCTATGGCTTCTGTAACAAATTATCACAAACTTGGAGGCTTAAAACAACAGAAATTTATTTTCTTACAGTTCCGAAGGCCAGAAGTCCATAATCAGTTTCATGGGGTCAAAATCAAGGTGTCAGCAGGGTTTTGCTTCTGAAGGCTTTAGAGAGAATCCATTCCTTGTCTCTTCCAGCTTCTGGTAGCTGCTGGCATGCCTTGGTTTCTGGTCACATCACTCCAATCTCTGTCTCAGTGGTCACATTGCCTTTTCCTCTTCTGTCCATGATCTTCCCCATGATATATGTGGCTGAATTTAGAGCCCACCAGGATAATTGCCCCATCTCAACATCCTTAACTCAGTCACATCTGCAAAGTCCTTTTTTGCCATATAAGGTAATGTACACAGGTTCCAGGGATTAGGATGTGGCTATCTTTTAGGGCGGCATTATTCAGTCTAACTACAGGTAGGTTACAATATCTATGGGAGTTTCCTTTCAGATAGTAAAGGGAGCATTTGGAAAATATTTGTTATAAAAGAAGGTATTGAGAATCACTGCTAAAGAAGATTTTCCTTTAATTAAAAAATGGGGAACACAGAAGGGTCATTATCACTCCTTTATTTATCATTACTAGAAATTAAAATCTTCATAAAAGAATGCAACCTTCTTTAGAAAGAGGAATACAGGGGACTATGTTCTCTTTCTCAGAGAAAGAGGCTATGTTCAGAGCTCTAGGAAGCACCAAAATTCTCTTTGGAAGCGAAAAGTGGTGAATTCCAATACCAACTTGACCCTTTCAACAACCTCAGTGGCTTCTCACTGCCTCAGCAAAACCCCCAAATTCTTTAGGATCTAAGATTAACTCTCCAGTTTAATTTTCTCCTTTGTACCTTGTATACTAGTAATAGTGAACTATTTTTGGTACTTTAAATATGCAATATATGTCTTTGAATCTTTGCACATGCTAGAATATTCTCTTGCCTTTTCTGCTAGTCAAATTCCTTTTCAGCTCAGTTCTCTAGGAATACTTACTAACCCTCACCCTCCAACTTAGAACAAATCACTCCCTTCTCTGAGTTATCACTATATCTTGCATATATTTAGGTTGTTACATTTATCACACTACATTATAAATTATTTGCTTATGTATTTGTCTCTCCTATTAAACTATGACTATTTGCAAGGAAGTTAACTGGTTCTTATTTGTCTCTGTATTACTAATAGAAAAAAGAATATTGAATGAATGAATGAATCCCTATCCTACACTTCAGTTCTAAGACCTGTCCACCTACATTTACTTCAAAGTACATGTATCCAAAACTGAACTCTTTTTATTTTGAACCACCTCCTCCTACTGTGTTCCTATCTCCATTAATGACACTATCATTAAGCCAGTGGCCCAAGGAAATCTGAAAGATATACCAGACATCTCCCTCTCCCTTACTCTTCACATTGACTTGGATATCAGCTCCTCTCAACTGTAACTCTCCCCCAACCCCCATTTCTTAACCTGTTTCTTTATTCTGTTCACGTTGCTACTACCTTGGTTCAATCCCTATTTAATTCTTAGACTTTTATAACAGCTAGCCCTGACTGCTAATCTACTTAAGGTACTGTTAGTGCAAATTAGAGCTAGACTAAATGAGTAAAGCGCTCCCTTCAGGCAGAGGAATAATAAAAGGGCTTCCATCCTGAAGAGGATCCTGAGGGCAAACATGACGTGCAGAGTGGGCTATACCTTTGTGAAAAGAACTACTCCAATCCGAAGGTGGTGCATCTGCTGCTCAGTTGATATCCTGAGAATCCCCTTCACTTTCTCCTGTGCTAGATTCTCTGTTTTTTTGTTACTTTCTAACTTTGGTAAAGGATATCCTCCATTGCTCACTATGTAAGGGTGCATAGGAGATAATTTTTTGAGATTTTGCATATATGAAAATGTCATTGGTCAAACTTCACACTTAAATGACAGTTTGGCTGAGTATAGAATTCTATATTGAAATCATTTTCCCCAAGAATTTTGAAGGTATTGTTTTATAGTCTTCTAATTTACAGTATTATTTCTGGGAAGACCTCTGCAATTATGGTTCTTGATTCATTGTATGAAAATGTTTTTGTTTGTTTCTTCTCTCATTAAGTTTTTAGGACATTCTCTTTATAACTGGGTTTCTGATGATTCACAATGTGTCTTGGTAAGAATAATTTTAAAAGTCTTACAGTGGATATTACAAGGAACCCTTTTAATCTGGAAACTAATTTCCTTAAGTTACATCATTCTTTTTTGTATTATTCTCTTGATAATTTTCTATCATCCCATTTATCTCTTTTCTCTTTGTAGAATTCCTATTATTCGCATGTTGGACTTCCTGGACTGATCCTCTAATTTTCTTATCTTTTCTCTCCCATTTTTCCAGCTCTTTGTCTTTTTTCCCCCCTAGGAAATTTCCTTAACTTTTCCAACCCAACTGCTAAATTAATTTTATTTTTGACTTCCAAGGCTCTTGTGTTTTCTGAATATATCCTTTTTATAATTTCTTTTTCTTGTTTCAAAGATATGATATCTTCTTTTCATTCTCTGAAGTAATCAAATATAGTAATTTTTTTAAAGTTTTCCTCTGGTCCCTGCATTATCTGTTTCCTCTTCTCCTCTGAGTTTGTTTCTTTCTTTCCTTATCTGTGTTTTTTTTAATGGATTTTATTTTTAGTGCAATTTTAGGTTCACAGCAAAATTGAGCAGGGAGTACAGAGAATTCCCGTATATCTTCTGCCCCCACACATACAGGTTCCCCAACTATTGGCATCCCACACCAGAGTGGTACATTTGTTACAACTGATGAACCTACATTGACATGTCATTATCACACAAAGTTCATAGTTTACATTAGGGTTCACTTTTGGTGCTACACATTCTATGGGTTTTGATAAATATATAATGATATATATCCACCATTATAGTATCATATAGTCATTTCACTACTTTAAAAATCCTCTTTGTTCTGCCTATTCATCCCTTCCTCCCTGCTAATCCCTGGCAACCCAGTGATCTTTTTACTTTCTCCATAGTTTTGCCTTTTCCAGAATGTCATATACTTAGAATCATACAGTATGTAGCCTTTTCAGATTGGTTTCTTCATTTTTTTATTGTATATGTTTAATGTATACAACATGATGTTTTGATATACATAGTGATATCATTACTACAGTCAAGCAAATTAACATATCCATCCTCTCAGATAGTTATGTTTCCTTTCCTTTTCCTTCTTTTATTTTTCTTTCTCTCTCCCTCTTTCTCTTCCTTGTGGTAAGAGCACCTGACAATTACTCTCTTGGCAAATTTCCAGTAAAAAATATAATATTAACTATAGTCATCGTGCTGTATCTTAGATCTGTAAACTTATTCATCCTATATAACTGCAACTTTATACCTTTGATCAACATCTTCCCATCCATAACCCCTGTTGTAACTGTTTCTATACATTTGACTTTTTTAGATTCCACATATAAGTGAGATCTCACAGTATTTTTCTTTCTTTGTCTGGTTTATTTCACTTAGCATAATGTTCTCTAGGTCCATCTATGTTGTTGAAAATGGTAGGATCTCCTTCTTCTTTAAGGCTGAATAATATGCCATTGTACACATAGACCAAAATTTCTTTATCCATTCATCTACTCAAAGACATGCAGGTTGTTTCTGTATCCCAGCTATTGTGAATAATTCTACAATGTACATGGGAGCATAGATATCTCTACAAGGCACTGATTTCATTTCCTTTGGGAATACCCAGAAGAGGACTTGCTGGATTATATAGTTTCTTTCACTTGGTAATATGCATTTAAGATTCCTTCATGCCTTTTCATGGCTTGATGGCTCATTTCTTTTTAGTGCTAAATATTATTTCATTATACAAATATATCACAGTTTATTTATCTATTTGTCTTTTGAAGAACATTTTGGTTGCTTCCAAATTTTGGCAATTATGAATAAAGCTGATATAAATATCTCTGTGCAGGTTTTTTGTACAGATGTAAGTCTTGAACTTACTTGGGTAAAAACCAAGGAACAGTACTGCTGGATTATATGGTAAGAGTACTTTAGTTTTGTAAAAAAAAAACAAACCTGCCAAACTGTAATCCAAAGTGGCTGTACCATTTTGCCTTCATAACTGCAATGAATGAGAGTTTCTGCTGTCCCACATCCTTGCCAGCGTTTGGTACTGTCAGTGTTTTGGATTTTCACCATTCTAACAGATGTGTAGAGGTATCTCATTATTGGCTTTTGTATGTGTGTATAGTTGTTTTAGTATGTATCTCTCATGTTAAAGGTTTTCCTGAAATGTCTGGTGATACTATCTCTTGACATAAGTGTGAGGCACCAAAAGGCTAAATGGAAGCTCTTTATGAATAGATGAGGCTTATTAAGTGGTAGGCTTAATTATATAATGATCGAACAGAAAGAACTCAGCTCTTTCATGGAGGGCCCTCTTGTAGCTATAGGTTTTTTTCTCTCGGGTAGGAGACATTCTGTAGAAAGTACTTCTCCAATCCCTTGAGTAGAAGCCCTGGTGCCAGTTTTCTCCTACTAACTGGGACTCTCCTTCAGTTCGTAGACTTTCACTTAATCTCCCTGTTTTCAGTAAGATGATCCTGCCCATAACTATATCTAATATCTATGAATGCAGAGTCCTTTTTGTTTACCTTCTTTCAAAGAATAGACTTCCAGATTTCTATAATGGTAGGGAAATGTTAGCACAGTGTATATGAAAGTAGACTCTAGAGTTAGGCTGCCTAGTTCAAATATTAGCTCTTTTAACCAACTAGCTGTGCAACTTTGAGCAAGCTACTTAATCTCTCAGTGCCTCAGTTTTCTAATCTCTAAAGTGGATGTAATAATAGCTACCTCACATTGTTATTGTGAGATTAATACATGCAAATATCTTAAAACAGCACTGAGCACACAGCTCAATAAATGTCATCTTTAAAAAAAAAAAAACATGACTAACATGGGAACGGTATTTTATTGTATTTCCCATCTCACACTCGGTCCCCAGATGAAGACACGTTCATTGAGTGGAATGCAAGCAGGATTATCCAGCACTGTTTAAACATTGTCTTCTCCTTCCTCTTTTGAATTACATGAATTAAAATTATATGAATTTAAATGCATGTTATGATTCAACTCCACTGTAATCCTACAGAGGGGTTATGGCCTGATCTATCTACACAGTAACAATAAAAAGGGAAAATTAGATAGATTTGAGAAATATTTACAAAATTGATTAGTAATTGGGTGAGTGAATGAGGTAAAGAAGATATAAATTAGGTGGTATCATTCATTGAGGTAGGGTACAGGAAGAGGAGTACATCTGAGGTATCAAATATGAAATATCAATTTAACATTGAACACATTAAGCTTACAATGCCTCTGGAACATCTAAGTGGAAAAGTTCGATTGTAGCTGACACATGCATTGAGAGCTTGGATTGAAATCATCAGCCCATACTTGGTAGTTAATCTATAAAAGTTTATAAAGTTATTCAGAGACAATATGCTACAAGGATGGACAAAGATAGAATACTAGTGGGGCAGAGACTGCTGGTTGTCTCTTCCTTCTATCTGAGTAACTGAACCCTTTGAGTTGGACCCATTGCCACCTTTAATAAAAACTACATTTTCCAGGCCTCCTTGCAATTTAGTATGGCCATGTGGCATTCTAAGTTCTGGCAATGAGAAGAGGGAGTCTTAAGTGAGATGTATCTGGGGGCATTCCTTTCTCTTTCTGCTATCTAGAATGTGGATGTGATGGTTTGCAATCTAGAAGTTGTCCTGGACCCCAAGGATGTTAAGATGCATACAAAAATGGAATAGAAAGATAGATGTCTGCACCCTTGATGGCACTGTAGGTCAACCATAGTAGCCTTGAACTGCATACCTATAGATAGCTTCTCCATTAAAGAAAAATAAACTTTTACCTTACGTCATTATTTTCTGGATCCCAATTACTCACAGTCAAATGTATTTCCTAATGCTACAACTGAGAATGACCAATGATAGTGATAATGCTAGCAATCATTTATTGAATATTTAATTTATAAGTACTATATGGAAAAATAAAGCTGAGAAAAGGGTAGAGAGTGTTTGGGATGGAACTAGTTGCAATTTTAAATGAAGTTATCCAAAAAGACCTCGTGGAGAAGATAAGATTTGTCAAAGGCTTGAAGGTGGAGGGAGCAAGCTTTGTGGAAATCTGGGGGAAGAAACATCCAAGCAGAGAGCACGGTAAGTACAAAAGTACGGAGGTAAGAGACTACCCAGTGTATTTGAGGAATAGTAAGCACCACTCTAGAGCCAGACTATGGGCGTCTGGATCCTGGCTCCTCCACTTCCTAATTGGGTGACCCCGAACAAGTCACTTTAACTTCTCTGTGCTGTAGTTTCCTCATTTTAAAAATGGGAATAATAATGGTACTTATGTAATGGTATTGTTATAAGAATTAAATGAATATTTGTAAAGTCCTTAGAATGATGTCTGGCACAAAGTAAGTGCTATGTAAGTAAACACTATATAAAATAAAATGAAACTAAACAGTGTGACTGAAACAAAGTGAAGCAGAGAGTACTAGAAGATAAATCAGGGAGATAAAAGGAGAAGCGTACTATGTTGGACTTTGTAAGAATTTTGGCTTTTACTCTGAGTGAACTGGGAAGCCATTGGAGGATTTTGAGCAAAGAAATGCTATGATCTAACTTACAATAACAGGATCATTATCATTATTTTGTTAAGAATACAGTGTAGTGAACAGCGGTGGAAGTAAGGAAACAAAAAGGTAACATATTACTATTGATGGTAGCTTAAAGGTGGGCAGTAGCAGCTGAATGATAAGGAATCAGATTATTGATTTTTTGAAGGGAAGGAAACAGGATATCATGGATTGGACATGAAGAACGGAGGAGAAAAAAGAGGAATCCAGAATAATTCCAAGATCTTTGGTCTAAGCAACTAGAAGGAAGAAGGAAGACATTACCACTTTCTTATCAATAGATGGAAAGAGGAGAAAGTATAGACTGGCAGTATAAAGATGGAGAGTTTGATAAATCTGAGATATATATTAGATATCCAAGTGATATTATAGAAGCAATTGGATATGAGATGAAGTTCACGGGTTCCAGGCTAGGGATATATATTTTAGAGTCATCATGAGCCCAAGAGGGAATGTAAACGAGATCAGAGGAATAGTCTGAGAGGTACTCCAATGTTTAGTGGTTGAGGAAACGAAGAGAATTCAGCAGAAGAAAAGAGTAGGAGTGTTGAGCCGGGCATAGTGGCTCACACCTGTAATGCCAGCACTCTGGGAGGCGGAGGTGGGAGGATTGCTTGAGCTCAGGAGTTCAAGACCACCTAAGCAAGAGTGAGGCCCCACCTCTACTAAAAATAGAAAGAAATTAGCTGGACAACTAAAATAAAAAAAATTAGCGGGGCATGATGGTGTACGCCTGTACTCCTAGCTACTTGGGAGGCTGAGGGAGGAGGACTGCTTGAGCCCAGGAGTTTGAGGTTGCTATGAGCTAGGCTGATGCCACGGCACTCTAGCCCGGGCAACACAGCAAGACTGTCTCAAAAGAAAAAAAAAAAAGAGTAGGAGTGTTCAATGAAATAGGAAGAAAACCAGGAAAGTGTGAATAAAGTGTTTCACAGAGGAAGGAGTTATCAACTACATGCTGTTGACTTGTCAAGTAAAATGAAGACTGAGAACTGACCACTGGATTTAGCAATATGGAAGTGATTCGTACAATAATTACGGTAGAATGATGGGGAAAGCCTGACTGGAATGGGTTCAACCCTAGGAGGAGAGGGATTAGAAACATCTGGTATAGACAACTCTTTTTATTATGAAGACACAAAGCATATTGAAGGGATGTGAAGTCAAAGAGACATTTTTAAGATGAAACAAATTACAGACTATTTGTACAGTGATAGGAAGGAAAATAGTAGAAAGGAAGGAGGATGACAATAAACAAGAAAGAGGGGAGAATGGCTAGACTGATGTAGGTGAGAGCAGATGGGATCATAGCACAAGTAAAGGGGCTGGCCTTAGCTATAAACACAAAGAGTTCATCCCAAGTAATAGAGTATATGGGCACAGATAAGATGGGTAGGTAGAAGAGTTGGCAAGAGCTTATAAAGTTCTTTTATGATTGCTTCTATTTCTTCGGTGAAACAGAAAGTGAGGATATCAGTGAAGAGTGAAATCAAGAAAAATGTGTTGAAGGTTTGAGAGAAAGGAGACGGTATAAAAAAGTCATCTCCTAGATAGCAGATAGAAGAGCTGAATGAAGTGAATAAGTGAATGAACTAAAGAAGTGAACTAGGATTGTGTGACAGCATCATAGGTCCATTAGACATTGAATTATAGTGATATCAGTCGTATGGTTGTGTTTTTCTTCAGGAACGTTCAAATGCATGGTTGCACATGTGAAGTAGGCAGAGTTATATTTAACTATGGTTAGGATTTTGCCAGGGAAGTATGATGATGCAAGAGATAGGCGAGGGAGTAATAACATAGTACTAAACCTCAACTGAATAAAGAAGGAAACAAGAATAGGAGTGTGGCAGACAGCGCAAAGATACGAGGATCAATGAACTGAAGTCCTGGTGAGAGTTAGAACACTTGAGAGGATGGTTAGGAAAATAGAAGATGATGGTGGCTGAAGGGCAGGATACTTGAAAATGGGATTTTGGAGGGGCCGGAATTTTGGTAATGACAAGAACGATGGTATGGCTATGGAAATAAGTAGCTGAGGTAGGTGGAGAATATGATCACTAGAGAAGAAGATGTTCTGGAACTGAAAGTATTAAAAGGATTAGCTACATGGATATTGAAATCATCCAGAATTATGACAGGGGTAATACTAAAGAAATTAAAAGGAAAGTAGGAGCTAAAATTCATAAAATGACAGGAAATGGTCTAGGAGTCTATACATGATAATAGTAAGGAGAGAAATAGATGGTACATACTTATGAAATTCAAACTTGGCGGGTTTAGGGATAGGGAGACAGTTGAGAAGTGGAAATGAGGTATAAAGAGGGCATCTATCCCATCTTTAGACTAGTATGAGAGACATGACAGACAGAGGGGCCACTTGAGAGAACTACAGGGAAGCAACGTACTCAGAGGAGGCTTAGGTTTACTTAGAGAAAGAAAGTGAAGGAAATGTTCAGAAAAGAATTAAGGACATGTGGGTTTTGCTGATGATTGACTGTGAGTTCCAGAGAAGACAGTGGAAGGGTTTCAAGAGCAGGAGAACAGTGGAAGATAAGGTCAGGAATGACAGCCATATGGGATGAGTCTGGGAAATGAAGGATAACCTACAATTCATGAAGTGATTGACATAAATGGAGATAAATGGCATAATGTCATTAATCCAAATAGTCTCAAGGCAGATAATGATGACAATGCAGTGAGTAGTGGAGATGAGGGACTAGCAAGTAGGGATTTGGCCAGATGCATACAGAGCTTTAGAATTCTCATTCCCACCAGCTGATAGTGATGTGAGAACCAGTGGATGGGAGTTGTTGAGTCTAGTCCAGAGCATAAGAAGTGTTCCGAAAGAATGGCAATGAGCCAGTTGTTTCTGAGAGAACAGTGTGTTCAACATCTTGCAATCCTTAGGGACTTTTGTCCCAGTGAACATTCATAATAAGACTTACCATTTAGCAAGGACTTGGCATTTTATATATATTATTTTACTTCATTCTGATAACAATCCCATGAGGGAAGTATTATCATTGTCATTTTACAGACGACAAACTAAGACTAGAGAGAATAAGGTACTTTATATGTCACCTCAGTTCCCATGAAAAGTCCTAATAGACCCCAAATCCTATATAAAATCTAAAATAGAAAAATTTCACTTTACTTTTATAAAGTTAAAAATTTTTCTTCATCTTTTACCTCCAGGCAAATCAATGAAGAAATTATTTTGTAAAAACTTATGATAGCTCTTCCTCTGGCCAATGAATTCAATCTAAGCATAATACTCCTTTATGGCAGTTCAACAAACTGGGGAGAAAAATTAG